TAAGCACGTAGTAGTTTCGGCACAGATTAATTAATAATTAGTAGGTACGTACGGCTCAATGAATAATCACTTGCCTTAAATATGTCACAATACGCGTGCAAGTTGATTCCGATTGACGTGTTATTTTCAGTAAAAATTTTAAAAAATTAGTTTTGGATCAATTCGTCGCTGACGCCGAAAAGGAGTGAACCTGAATTTTTCAAAAAATTACAGGAGTACAAGAAAACATTTATAACTCCCCGTTTACTAGCTTCTTTCATCAGAAAATTAAATAGATTAGACTTAATGGAAAACTACAAATAAGATTATATAAACTTTTCAATACAAATATATATTACTTTATAAAAACCAATTTGGTTTTACAAGGGTTCGCTCGACGTCTGACGCCGGTGTTGAGTTTATGAAATATATTTTCAATGCCTGGGAGAATTCACAAGATGTCGTAGCTATTTTTATGATCTTTGTAAGGCTTTCGATTGTGATCATCATGAGATAATAACCAGAAAATTACAACATCACGGTGTAAAAAATTTGGCGCTTAGGCTATTACTTCATATTTAAGTAATAGATATAAAAATGTCGTGATCAATGGTAAAGGTTCCTCCGGATCGGTAGTATCAATGGGCGTTCCTAAAGGCTCGATTTTTGGCCCATTCCTGTTCTTAATCTATATTAATGACTTACCTTATCTTGTAGGGAACAATCACAATATAGTATTATTTGCTGATGAAACCTCTGTAATTTTCAAACTCAAACGGCAGTCAATTAATTATGACGATGTAATAAATGCTCTATCGAAATTAGCACATTGGTTTAACGCCAACAATTTGGTCTTAAACGGAAATAAAACAAAATATATTAAATTTACAATACCTAATGTAAAACATTCGAATAGCAATGTGTTCTTAAATGGGGAGGAGTTGAGTATTGTGGATACCACTGTTTTTCTTGGTAATTACTATTGACGCGAAACTTCAATGGGGCCCGCATATATCTAAATATGTTAGCAGACTTAGTTCTGCAGCATATGCTGTATGAAAGATTAGAAGTCTCACAGATGTTGAGACAGCTAGATTAGTTTATTTTAGTTACATTCATAGCGTAATATCTTATGGAATTTTGCTATGGGGTTATGCGACTGATATTGAAGCCATAGTTGTTTTGCAAAAGAGAGCCGTAAGGACAATTTATAACTTAAATTGTAAAGATTTTTCACAGATTTTTTTAAGAAACATATTAACTTTGGCATCGCAATATATTTATGAAAATATAATGTACATAAAAATATAAATAGCTTTAATAACAATATGGATGTTCATACTTTAAACACTAGGAACAAACATAAGCTTGTAATGCTAGTTACTAGACTCCACAGAATCAGTAATTCATTTATGGGGCAATGTATACGCTTTTACAACAAAATCCTAGAACATTTTCAAAGTTTGTCAATAAATAAGTTTAAAAGTTTTATTAAAGAAAAACTGTACAAAAAGGGTTAACAAGGTGTAATATCAAGGAATACATGAATGAAAATAACCGCTGGGAATAGCATCATAGCAAAAAATCAATTTGGTTTTCAACGAGGCATATCGACTGAAAATGCTGTACTGGCTCTTACAACTTTAGTAGTAAAAGAAGTGGAATCTGGAAACAAATGTTTGGGAGTAATGCTCGATCTAAAGAAGGCATTCGATACAGTGTCGGTGCCCATCCTGTTAAATAGACTAGAGGAAGTAGGGGTGAGAGGTACTCCTCTCAAATTAATCAAAGATTATCTTACTAACCGAAAGCAGCGTGTTCGAATAGGCAACCACACTAGCCAGGAAACCACTTTAACATTCGGTGTCCCACAGGGGAGTGTGCTGGGACCAACGCTTTTCCTGGTGTATATAAATAATCTCTGTCTACTAAAATTATTCAATGGTATTGTATTTTCTTACGCAGATGATACAGCTATCGTGTTCTCTGGCAAATCCTGGAATGAAGTAAAAATATCGGCAGAAAAAGCCCTGGCAAAGATAGCATCCTGGTTAGATACAAGCCTCCTTACTTTAAATGCAGCTAAAACTCAATATATCTGTTTCAGTAAACATCTCAACTCAACCCCCATCAAATTATAACATAAAAATTCACAAGTGTGGTGACCCGCCTGATACTGACTGCTCGTGTACTGGAATAGATAAGGTCGCTTATGCTAAATACTTAGGGATTCTCGTCGACCAGCGGCTTTCTTGGCACCTGCATATAGAACTGACCATGAAAAGAGTGAGAAAACTGATCTGGACTTTTAAAACTTTACGTCACATTGCGAGTAAAGAATTACTTACTCAAACATATGTTGCACTCGCCCAATCCATACTGGTATACTGCATATCAGTGTGGGGCTCGGCTGCTAAAACTTCTCTACTATGTCTGGAACGAGCTCAAAGGTTGCTGATAAAAGTAATGCTTCTAAAACCATATAGATACCCCACTGAAAATCTTTACCAGGAAGCTAATCTTCTATCAGTTAGGAAACTATACATATTGGACATTGTTCTTAGAATGCACAAATCTCTTCCCTTTGATGCTAAGTTGCTAACCAGGAGAAGAAACTATAAAGTTGCCTTAGTTCCCATAGTAAAATCAGACTTTGCTAGACGGCAGTACTATATACAGTCTGCCTCAATCTACAACAAAATAAATAAATATCTTAACATATTCCCACTTAATAAAAAAGATTGTAAGAAAACGGTTTTGAATTGGCTAAAATCAAAAAGTTACATTGAGGCAGAACTGATGCTTAAAAACTAAAACACATGCACACACACACACACACACACACACACACACACACACACACACACACACACACACACAAGCAGATGGAAATTTAATAAATAAATAAATTTAATATATGTAAACTTATAATAATAATATATGAAAACTTGCTTGTTTTAGTGTATATTCGTTGTAATTTAGTTTATATGTAAGTGATTGTAAAAGAGCGGTTCTTCCTAACACAGGCGATGTATTGCCTAAAGGGGAGTTCCCACAACTAATATTTGTAATAGACTAAGTTACTGAAATAAAAATATTTATTTATTATTATTATTTATTATTTTCAAAGTTTGTCAATAAATAAGTTTAAAAGTTTTATTAAAGAAAAACTGTACAAAAAGGGTTAACAAGGTGTAATATCAAGGAATACATGAATGAAAATAACCGCTGGGAATAAGGTGATCGCCACCATGCTGATTTTATGAAAAGTCATTTAAAAATTGTACGAACAAAATTATTGTTATCTAAGTGAAATATGCTTAAAAAAGTCCCCCTGGATTTCTTGCTGGTTCTTCCCAGGACAAAGGTATTTTCCGAACCAGAGGTAAATAAAAAATGACTTTCAACAAGTATTATGTAATAACCAATATTGAATAAAAAATCATTCTATTCTATTCTATTAATTTTTGGTTACCCGATCCTTCAAGTATTTATTCGTCTTACGAACCGGGTTATTCGGGTCGATCATTCAAATGGATCGTTTCGAGTTTGATTGCTCTGTGATATGTTAGACCCGCTCGATAATGTCAGCCCTCGGACATTACTGTACTCTTTGGTCGTGAGTCCTAACAATCGTTTCATCCGGAACGTTCAAAAATGTAATTTCAATCATCAACTACTTTTTATGCGACCCGAGTCAAATGAACGAATCATTCACGATTGACACATGTTTTATTTCCATCCCCGCGTGCTAGAATCGTAAATTGCAATTTTGAGTACGTAGTCGTCTGTGTACGAAAACATCACGGGTAAAGTTAAATATGAGGATATGTGAAAGGCAAAGACCTTTCACATATCCTCGCACCGGCGTCGTGTGATAGGTTGTCCACTTCCCTTTAAATTGGACGTGGGTGATGACTACCTCATACGTCATGCTTGTGATCATGTTGACTGCCTCGTTTGTCTAGTGGTTGTAACCGCGAATACTGATCTAGTGGTTGCGGGATCGAATTTCGGGTTTTCGGGTTAGATATAAATCAGCTGTTGGTTTTTTTTAATAGAATAAAGGTGCCAAACGAGCACACAGCCCACTTGATGGTAAGTGGATGCTGTGAACCATTAACATTTACATTTATCCTAGATTAAGAATTAAAATGCGTTCTCACGCCTGAGGACTTAGATAGAATGCTTATTTTCCTGTAAAAAGGGTCTCCGGTTCTTTACATTCACCATACGAAACACAGCAGCCTTAAGCTGCTATTTTACGCTGGTATTCTGTGAGAGCGTGATCCTACCCCAGTCGAGCCGACCCATTCGTGCTACAACTAATATAGCTGCAGCGTGGCTCTACTACGTATAAAAGGTTTTCTATCAAGAAACTCTCAGGAGCAGCCCGGAGTCAGGAAGTTGGCGGTGTTTCACTGACGGAATAGAGTACACCTGTAATTACGTACACACACTTGTACACTATAAGTCGGTCCTCGCAGATGAGGAGTCTCCGTTGCGACCATGGTTGCGACTATCGCCGTAACCGCCTTTAGGACTATTACTTGTGAGAAGGTGCTGCTTACAAAATCTGGTCCGCTCGGGCTTGCAACACATTTATTAGGTTTATTTTGCATTTTTTTCTTGTGGTTTAATTTTATTAAAGGACATGCCTTGACTTTTTATACAGGCCTTTAAAATGATGACAAAGCAGGGGATACCTGAGGAGTTACATTTTGAAACGGTAAATTAAAAAAGTATGTTTACGTTTGATAAACGAAATTTTAATTTCTTACATCTAAATTTTAAAAATAAAGGAGATATCTTTTAATAGTCCGTCAAACACGCATTCTGGTAGCGCAGCAGACTCTTTTCTGCTCCGCAAAACCTCTTGAATAGAGGAGGAGAGAAAATCTCGGAGAGAAGAGGTCCAGGAAATGGACGTAAATAGGTTGCGTTAATTGAATTTTCTATGTAATATAAATAAATAATGATTTCTTCGAAGTTATAAGTACCTACGTTGTTTTTTTTTCGTTTTAATCTTGGTTCGTATTGTACATTGTCTTTAGGAGCGCAAAATATGACCAGGCAGTGCTAATTATCTGAAATTAAAAATAAACAATATTAAAAAACCTTTTTTTAAATGAAAAGAACTTGCTCCACAACCGTGCCTTAGTACTACATAGTTACAACTAGCACACATCCTTTCCTGTTGGTGAAATCACCATGACTCACAGATTTTCACCGTTTCCTCATAAAATCTCTCTCCGTTAACAATCTTGTAAAATAATCTATTGTATATAAAAAAAAATCAACAAATTATTAGATTAAAAAAACCCAATTCTCACCCTGGTGAACGCTCTCAAGTTTACATCAGCAAAACCAAACGCCGTCAACTTGCAAGGTTTTTGGGCTCTGAAATGAAATTATTTTTAAATAAAGTTTTTATACGATGGACATCATTCTATATAGGATTGATGACTTTTTCCCCTGGTGGATTTGGAAGCCCGTAAACATTTTCGAAATTGTCTTAATGTTATTTTTTGAATGAAGTTACTTATCGCACGGTACTAATTTGGCGAATGGGGATAGACGAGAAAAAGTGTAAGATTTTTCCGTCACGAGCCTTTCTGTAGTGCGAGCGAGATAGCGAATAATATCCATCTCTCTCACACTTTTTCTTATCATGCCATGAAAGTAATATTAATTTAAATGACGCTTCATTTTAAGAAATGCTAGTAATTCATTTATTTGTATTTGTTAATCAATAATATAATACGTTTATCAATAATAATATAGTACAAAAGAAAATTCGTTCAAACCGAGTGTTCCACGACACTCACGCATGTTTTTTTTTTTAATTTACTTACTAAGCTCATGAATGTAACATGACAATACAATACTATGCAAAAATCTGGAGATTTAACTACGCTAGAAGTTTCTTATATACATATTTCTGGTTCTCTACACTCATCATACAAAACACAACAACATTATACTTTTAGTATAAGATTATGCTGCAAGTTTTTGCTGGTGTGCTGTGCGAGCGTTGTTCTTCTCAGTCGAGACGATATAGTTTCATCAATATTTTATGAGAGCGTTGTCTTCACTGTAAAGCTGACGTATTCGTGCTTCAACCTTACACCAGGTGCAGACTGGTGGTGACCCTACTACGTACTCTTTTAATTCCCCAATTACAGTTTAGACAGTAATTGGCAAAGACACGTTGGCCGCAATTAAAAAAAAAATATTGAAAACTTTCCTTATTTTACACGTACCTGATTTGTACCAACAGTAAATCCTTCCCCACCCTCCAATCAGCCGCATACCACAAACTGTTATACACAGCATCGCTCACCTCCTGACTCTGTGGAAAAAAAAAACACCAAAACAAAACCCGGTTCAACGACTAACTGTTTCCCTGTTAGCACCTGATGCAACACTTCAAATGATATTAATGAAACCGGAATTTACGATCATACTTACCGAGCTCATTATCATGTCACCAAAGAGGCAAAGAAAAAATATCTGGAGGAGGCTCATGGACAAGAACGTTAAGAAGGTAACGGCGAACGCTACGTTGTTAATGGCCTGAAAAGGTAAAATAAATAAATATCCACTACCCCACATCGTCCCGTGAGTGTCGTAAGAGGCGACAGAGGGAAACAAAGAGATCTTCTGTTTCTTTCCCTCTTGGGCAGCAGCATCTTCCTAGATAAAAACTTAAAATAATAAAAATTGCGGTTGCCAACCCACCTGCCAATTGCAATTATGGTAAAATACCCTCTATAAGGCAATTTATAGGGGAGACCTATGTTCAGCAGTGGAGCTTATAGGCTGAAATCGTCGACGATCGAGTCCTTTGCGATCGGCTCGATTCACTGGCGCTACGAAGAGATGTTGCATCTATTTGCATTTTCTTTTCATTTACTACGGGGAGTGCTCTGAGGAATTGTTCGAATTAATCCCAGCCGTAAAAATTTCACAAACGCACATCGCGGCAGAACTCCTGATACCATCCACACCATCTGGATGATTGGCGGTCCACTACTGTGCGATTAAGAAGATGTTTTCTTCCTCGCACAACTTCCTTGTAGAACAATTTACCACCAGCGATTTTTTCCGGACCGATAAGACTTAGGGACCTTCAAAAAAAGAGCCTACTCCTTTTTAAAAGGCCGGCAACGCATCTGCAATTTCCCTGGTTCCCCTGGTGTTGCGGTTGTTCATGGGCGCGGTAGTCACTTACCATCAGGTGAGCCGCATGCTCGTTTGCCCCCTCTCCTATAAAAAAATGGATGGATTTATTGATAGCGAAAATTATACCGCCACCTGTCGATCTAGCCACAATATATTTTTGGCATTTTTCATAGCTCTTATTATACTTACAATGAAATAAGGTTTTGGATTCCCTTTTGCCGCTACCTAATTAGGAACATATCTTCTGTCACTGCATGAGTGGACAATGTTCAACATTGGACTTGTACTGAGGAAATTTATAAGACGAGATGAAATTTTAAGAAAATAATTTATGATTAAAAATTTAAAAAAAAATAACAAATATATTACATGTAGGATAACAGGCCGTAATGTCGGGACGTTTCTTCCGTATTTTTTTGTTCGCGATGTTTCGAAAGCCTTACATTATTTTATGGAATAAGAATGACAAACGAGCACACTGTTCACCTGATGTATCCACTCTCTCTCAAATTCTAAAGACCAATCTAAAGATTTTGTGACAAGCTACTGACGTATTACCTACAGTATCTACTCGTTATCTAATAATTTAATATTAAAAATTTTGTACAACCGACTTCAATGTAAATTATTAAGAATAACACAAAAACTATTGCTCAGCACCTTGATAAAAAATTTATATGGGACTACATGAGCAGCACCAGCTTTAAAATAAAATAAGAATCATCGAAATCGGTTCACCCAGTAAAAAGTTATGACACACATTTAAAAAAAACATACAGTCGAATTGTGTACCGGCTCCTTTTTGAAGTCGGTAGAAAAGGTAGCTAGTTGCAGAGGTTCAATTTATATAAATTGTCTCCTTATAAAGCGACCGTAGTCACGGGTGACCTATACGAGATATATCGACCTGTAGCCCATCGAACCTCCTTTTGAGGGGACCCTTAGATTGCGTCGATACTCCAACTTGTCGAAAACGTCCTTCGATAGCAGGGGTCGGAGTGCAGCGGATTCCAGGCGGCGTCGACCGACACAGACAGAACCGCAGAATTAGAAGCAGAAACTCAATAACTCTCAAGTCGTCTACATATGCGAGTCTATTGGTGCAAAGGTAAAGTCTGCAGGCTGCAGGGCCAACAACAACACCCTTTTAGAATAACAAAAAAAAATGAAAATAGAAAACTCGACTGCATTGATTATTGAGTAGGTATTGAATAAAACTGCGTTCGTCTAAATGCGCCTCAAACAAGCGCCAGGTTATTGTTATTTAGGAATTTGGGTGATTTTGTTTTTACGCAATATTATAAAATCACGACAAATTGACACCTTGACAAATTTCAGGTCGTGTTTTTTTAAACAGAACTTATGGCTGTAAAATAGTCTAGAAAACGTGTATAACGACTTGGTAGAGCCATGCTGCAGATATAATATAGTTGTAGTATGAATGGGTCAGCTCGACCGGTAAAGAACCACGCTTTCACCGAATACCACAGTTATGTTTTTATGGTGAGTGTAGAGAACCGCAGATCCTTGTTACTGGCATTTTAGTCCTCAGGGGTGACAACGTATTTGCATTTTGATTCTTAATCAAGGATTAATGTGGATGTCTATGGACCACAGTATCCTCTTAACGTGGATTGTATACTCATTTGTCACACTTATTCTAAAAAATAGGAAACATCATCATGATTTTAAAACACCTGTTCAGTGATATGACATTCAATATAGTACGCATTTTTTTTTATCTTAACCGCCATTTTGTATTTTACGGTTGCCATTTTGTTTATATAAGAAACAAATAAAAACAAAATCAGGCCTTTATATCCACCAGGTTTAGACAAGTCGATAGACACTGAGGCTATTATATGATAGGCATTATAAGATAGGCACCTAGGCTAAAATCCATCCAGTCGTTAGGATGTTTTTTCCACATACAAACTCAGATAAGCGTAGGAAGCATATGCTTGCCTTCGCTGTTACGCAGTTGGACAAAAAGAATTTAACCAAGGCAAAGTGCGTGCGTTTGTATTGCACAATAGCGTTGCGTTATGCCTTCTGTGTGTTGCCTACGTCATATTTAGACGTTAACAGTGAACGCAAACATCGAAGTATTACTTCAATCGAGCCTAAGCACGGAATATGGCACAATATTTTAAACAAACTTGCAATTGAAACTCGATGACTGGGCAGCTAACAGTTTATTATGATATTTTATTACGACACGGGAATAACCACAGCGAAAAACAGTCGAAAATTTTTGGTATCAATTGCTATACATTATTTAAGTCGCTTACTCGTACAATGTTTATTATATGTCGTAGACATGTGTCATTCATTAATTTCTAATGACCCGATCATTCAAGTATTGGTTCGAGTTTCAATTTAGAGAGATCATTTCGAGTTTCATTACCCTGTGATATGTGAGACCCGCTCAATAATGGCGGTCGTCAAACACTACTATAGTCTTTGGCCGTAGGTCCTGTCCATGGTTTGATCCGGGAAGTTCAAAAAATGTTTTTGCAATCATAAATACTTTGATGCGACCCGGGTCAAATCAACAAAATCATTCGCGATTGACGCAGTGTCGCCCTTGTGCTCGTCACTCGTCGTCGTTTTTGGATAAATTAAATAAAGCTATAATCAATCAGTATGTTCAGGGGCGGTGTAAAATTTCGAATATCGCATATCGTCCCGTAGGTATCATTGAAACAGGTGATGGGTGGAAGCATCTTTCTTGTTCAAAATTATAAAAAAACTGCTGTTCGAACACGCCTACGACTTTTTTTTATAGAATAAGGGTGACAAACGAGCACACAGTTCACCTGATGGTAAGTGGTTTATGTGGCCCATAGACATCTACATCTATCTTCGTTTGCGAATTAAAATGCAGATGCGTCGTCAGCCGTGAGGACTAAGATAGAATGCCTCTTTTTCAGTAAAAAGGGTCTCCGGTTCTCTACACTCACCATACGAAACACAGCAGTATTAAGCTGCTATTTTACGCTGGTATTCTGTGAGAGCGTGGTCCTTCCCCTATCGAGCCGACCCATTCCTGCTACTAGTATACTATTAATATAGCTGCAGTACGGCTCTACCACGTAATTCCCAGTGTGCTCTACCACGTATGTTCAGCTGTGGACTTTTATAGGCTGTAATGGATGGATGTATAGAAGATAAACTACCAGGAGCACATGACCCGCTGAGAGGTGAAGCTAATGAGGCAGTCTATGGAGGAGGTCTATGTTCAGTGGTTTTTTTATAGGCTGTAATGAATGGACTGATGGATGGATTGTTAGGGGACGGTATTCGAACTAAACTTGTTCGCAGCGCAATTGTTAAATCACAGGGTCATATTTGGCGCTAAGAATACTTCCATGTTTTATTTGCGTTCCCTAGACTTTTACGAATACGTACCGTAACGTTGAAGCCAGTCAGGCAAATAATCACCGAGCTTAACACAAAATTGAATAACGTCGACCTTGAATAGATTATTTCTAAAGTGTTCACGGCTCTGAAAATACAAAGGAAATTAATACTTCGGTATTTCTAATGACTTGTTATGTAGCAGAGCCGCGCTTTAGCGTATTTACGGCTGTCACATACAGATTGTGTATATCTTTTCTAAGACCATATTGACCACAGCACCCATTTACCATCAGATGAGTTAGAGTTAGTACGTGGTAGAGCCATGCTGCAGCTATTAGTAGTATAATTGTAGCATGAATGGGTCGGCTCGACCGGGGAAGGACCACGCTCTCACAGCATATCAACTTAAAATAGCAGCTTAACGCTGCTGTGTTTCGTATGGTGAGTGTAGAAAACCGGAGACCCTTTTTACTGGAAACGAGGCATTCCATCTTAGTCCTCACAGGTGACAACGCATCTGCATTTTGCATTTGTCTATGGGCCACAGTAACCACTTACTATCAGGTGGACTGTGTGCTCGTTTGTCATCCTATCCTATAAAGAAAACTGAGCTCTGGAACTCTAGTACGCAAATTTATTTATGGATTCTTTTTAACATACTTACTTTATGAGACTCTGATGCCATTTTATCAACTTTATCAATCCGTTCCTAAGATACACATTTTGGTTTGGCTGTCTATCAGCTATGAGTTGCACAAGTTCATGTCTTAGTAAGCGAAACTGGATTCTAATATATGTACAGCATATATAATAGAGGTAATCAGCACCGCATATCTCTAAAAGAACTATGCATTCTGAAAAATTAAATATATCTTTCGTATATATCCAATTTATTACAAATAATTTAAAATTAACAATTTTGCACAACCGACATCAATATAAATTATTAAGAATAACTCAAAAACTATTGGTTAGACCTTAATCAAATTTATATGGGACTACATGAGAAGCACCAGCTTTCAAAATAAAAAGAGAATCATCGAAATCAGTTCACCCAGTAAAAAGTTATGAGGTAACACATAAAAAAAAAACAGTCGAAGTGAGTACCGTCTCCTTTTTGAAGTCGGTAGAAAATATTAAAATTGGCCTAGTTTTTTTTAATAGAATAAGGATGGTTGCTGTGGCCCTTTGACACTTACATTTATCATTGATAAAGAATGAAAATACGAGGATACATTGTCACCCCTGAGGACTAAGATGGAATGCCTCGTTTCTAGTAAAAGGGTCTCCAGTTCTGTGCATTCACCATACAAAACACATACATATACACAAATTTTACGCTGGTGTTCTGTGAGAGCGTGGTATATAGCTGCAGCGTGGCTTTACTACGTACAAAGTAGTCTAGCCTAGTATAGCCTCTAGTGTGTGATTGGACACGTGTAAGCTGAAGTTTCGTTGAAGCTGTAATAGTTTCTATCGTAATAAGAGCCGTATTAGTAGCTCATGGGCCAAGTGTTCATTGTAAATTTCGTAGCAGGCCAGTAGCGCGTGTTTGATCTCAGCCGGTAACAAGGAAATTGTCAATTGTGACTCGAAAACTCGAAACTTACCTGTTGTAGGGTCGTTGCGCCGGTAAGCCGGCCGGGTCTAGTTTTCGGCCTTTGGCACCAGGTGATGCAGTAAATTTCATTTAATAACGATTTTAATAAATATTATCGTACAAAATTAAGTTTAATGCATTTGTAAATAGTTGCATTATATATTGCAACATTACTTTATCGGGTAAACACAACACGCGATTTATAATAAATAGTTCAGTTCGACGCCGGCACAGGAGCTGTCAAAAAGTGTAAGATCGTGCAAAAAAAAATAGTGGTGCGCGTTTCACTCAAAAGTTAATTTTGCGCTGTATTTACAATGATTATTTAATATTGTGCTCATACTTCACTGAATAAATAACTTAATTTTACATTTTCACATAGATTACTATAATATTTTATTGTGAAAGTTAATAAATTAGGTGGCCGGAAAGTGACACATAAAATTTTCCTATTATTTGGTTATCGGCCATGTGGCCGGAAAGTAGCCTGAGTTTAGCCTAAATACTTTGTCTCTTTCATTTATTTGGTTACCTACTATTAGTCTTCTTTCTTATTTGTAATGAATTGTATCCTTGCGAAGACACTTGCTTTCAGTTTTCGGCCACCAAGTACCGCAATTGGAATGGTTAGTGACGAAACTAAAATACCCATTTTAGTTGTGGCCGAAAACTAGATTGAGTCTAAAATTATTATTTAGTTTTCGGCCAACTTTAAATTGTATGAAAGAACAGGGAAGCCGAAAACTGAATACTGATTTGGTTGAAGGACATTTCATGAAATATTTCGTTCACGTTGCGTTTTAGGAAGTAGATTCAATAAGACATTATTTTCTTCAGATGGCTCCTCCAAAGAAAAATCCTCCAAAGAAATATAATTAGTAAATGGTTTCAGAAAATGTGGACTTAATGAATTTGATCACAATGTAGTGGATTACTCAAAATGTGTCCGGAATACCCCGGAAATACTAATTAGTGAAAATTCAGACACCAGAAAAAATATATTTCTAAAGAAATAACTAACGCAGACCTAGTTTCTACAAGAAAAGTTTTGAAACATTTAAAATCAAATCTGGCATAAAAAATCATGGCTATGTTCTAGTAACTATGGATTCATCTACCGATGCATTAGAATCGTTTATCGATAACAATATTTCAACATTGCATTTGTCAGGAAGTTATTTGGATATCGGTTCCTTAGTATCGTTAGATGATGTTCTTGTAATCCCAACTTAAATAAGCCTACCAATGACAACAGTACTGACAATGCCGGTAGTGGTAATAGATTCCAGTAATGCAATAATAACGACTCAAAAAAGTATAATGGCTACGATGATACCACCACCACTAACACCGATGATAACAAACAACGCCTTTGAAACTTTACGAAAATGTGCTGGTTGCTATTCCAATAAAACAGACTAGTACACCTCTCGAACTAGTGAAACATCGGCTTCAGTACTATTAAATAAAGAACACAGAGATGCGATAGAAAAAACATTTATCTAAATCGGAACTCGTAAAAAATCAACCATTAACAGTACACATACACCTTCTTCTGTTGCAATTTGATATGCAGAGTGGCGAAAACTTTATAAAGATAAAGAGAAAGTTAAAATAGAAAAGTTAGAACTAAGTTAAAAAAATAAGATATTTTGAAAAAGAAAAGAATATAAAAAAAAAAGTTAAAAAGTGCTATAGTTCAAAAACGAAAAATCCCAAAATCCAAGAATTCCATGAAGGAAAATGAAAGAGTAAGAGTAAATGCTATGACATTTTAATAAGCGATACAGAAGAAGATATGGAAAAAAATTGGGTGTGACTTTTGCACCAAATGGATTTGAGATATATAGATTTTGTTGGACTAAAATATCAGGCAGCGTTCAGGAAATCACAGCACATCTTCTCGTCAGGTATACCTCAAAACTTGAAAACGAGACTGTACAACCAGTGCGTGTTGCCAGTGATGACCTAAGGAACTGAGACGTGGTTCTTCACTGCTGGCCGGATGAGGAAGCTCGAGGTTGCTCAGCGAGCTGTGGAGAGGGCTATGCTCGGCTCGGAGATTCTCTGCGTGATAAACTTAGAAATGAGGATATCCGTAGTAGATCCATTAGAGTGACCGACATAGCCCAACGGGTTAGTAAGCTGAAGTGGCAATGGGCCGGCCATTTAGCTCGAAGAACCGACAACAAATGGGGAAAAAAGGTTCTCGAATGGCGGCCTCGTACCGCCGGATAAAGTGTAGGGTGTCCCCCCACTAGACGCAGTGACGACCTGGTAAGACATGCAGGAAGTCGATGGATGCAGGTGGCTCAGGACCGTGTTTTATGGCATTCCTTGGAGGAGGCCTATGTTCAGCAGTGAACTTGTGAAGGGCTGTAATGATGATGATGATGATGAAAATATGAGGAAGTACAAAAAATGAAAAGATTTGATTGCCATATTTAACGACACGAAATTTTATTATAATTTTACAAAAATTATAATAAAATTAAATATTAAGTTAAGGTTAAGGCACCTTTTCTATCGTGTCTAATGCAGTGGCCGAAAACTAAAATTCTTGTGGGCCGGAATTTAAAATTTGGGGCCGAGAACTAGCATTTTACATATTTTTCACATCAAAAAATATTATAAAAAAGAAATTTTTCTTGTAGCATCAATGAGTTACAAACATGAAAACTACATTATGTAAGCTACAAATTAACATTAACAGCACTAGTCCAGCATTATGGCATTTATTTTTTCTAGTACCTTAAAGTCAACAACTCCACTAAAAGGCCGAAAACCAGCGCAACGACCCTACTCGGAAAGAAAGAAAAATCGCGCATGTCAGAGAATTTAAATATTTCGAACACATGTGAAGTCAATACGCACTGGAGAGCGCGGAAAAATCGAGCCATACCTCTCTCAGAAGTGATATGAGGCCTGCCCAGCAATGGGACTAGACATCCGGACTTATAATTTCTAAAATTTTTTAACTTTTAAATTTAAAAAAAAAAATCTGTGAGAGCGTGGTCCGAGAAAGAACCACGTTTATGGTAATAAATATTGTTAGGAATGAGGTTAATAAATAAAAGGAAATACGAACAAATGAATGTAGAACTGTAATATCCCACCCGTTCTAGCGGTATAAAGTATCGCGCAGGCGACTGAAAAGCCATCATTCTGTAATTCTACTATTAGTAGAATTACAGACTGATATTAATTAATATTGTATATTTTATGTTATGAAAATAAATAATTGTTAAAGAAGAAAATTATTATAGTTTAATCAGTAATAGCTTAGGGGCGACAATAACCTAAATGCATTGTTGCTGCTATCGTGAATGTGTATATTGCACTTTTAGTATAGGTTCACCACAGGTTTATAAGTGAAGGGAAACATCGTGCGTCAACCTGGATGGCTTAGAAATGAAAAGAATATACATACGAGAAATCCAAGCCTCCATTCCTATATTATTTAATTCTTTTATAACCCGGCCCCCAGCGATAAAATAGTTTAGTTTAAGTTTGCACTAAGTTTGGTTCTACTTTATGTAGTTACATGATTTACCTGACCAAATTTGTTTCATGTATATCAACGGCCAATACCTAATATCGAGCGGATCAAATGGATAAACGTCGAGAAATGGCAGCATCAATTCGAGTTCTCGGGTTCTGATGTATTTTATAGCTATTAATATCAATGGACTGAAGGTGAAATTTACCACCATACCGATATTCAATATATTTAATAGATTTATCACCAAGTTTAAGAATCTCCTCTCCTCTTTTTCAGTTTTAATTTTTATAACAGTGTCCATGTCGCTTGCATTTTCATCAAGTTCTCTCAACTGTTTAATCAATTGCCCAACATAATCTTCATAAATTATTAAATAAAGTGATTTCAAAGTAGCTACCAAGCTCAATGTTGCGCATGGTGCAAGATACGTGATCTCAGTCATATCCTTTCCGTTTTTCACTTTATCTGTGATCCAAAATACAGCACCAATTATGTCACTGTTAAGCCATATAAAATTAAAAATATAAACACTTCTTTTTTTTATTGTATGCCATTTATCGCTTTTATTCCGTTCTAAATTTAAACCTGTGCAAAGAAATATAAATTTTAAGCGCTTTAAAGATTTATCGAAAAATCGTGTCTCACTCGCCATCTTGTTTATGACTAAAGTTATGAAACAAAATGGCATCTATTTATAACACATCGTACATTAACAAGTCTTAAATAACTTAACACTAAATCTAACATGTCCGTTTCGTTTGATAACACCTTGGAAGGCTTTAATTAATCCATTATTTATTACTTGTGATACATGATGATAGAAAATATACTAAAAAGTAAAAGTTACAGCCTTAATGCGTCCAGCTGCTGGGCACAGGCCTTCTCTTAATTTTGAGAGGGTTTCTTTGGCAAGGAAGTTTTCGCTGCGCTGCCCCAATGCATGTTGTCGGACTTCATGTCTTCTAAATATTTTTATTTACTTTCAGACTTGAAAGTGGTGACCCGAGCACGTGGTAAATTAGCACTTAAAATTGTAATTAACCCATACTATTTGCGTTGGTACCTACTGTGAAATTTACAGCGAGAGCTAACCCTCTGAGCTATAAAATAATTACATATATATTATAAATTAGGCTATATCTAATGGGGCCTAATTTTAAAGATGTTCAAGACAAATGTCTCGAATATCTTTAAAATGCCCTTTGTTGACTACCTGTCTACATCCACAATAAGATATTGGATGGATTCATGGATCTCATAAAAAACTTGAGTCCCATATAAATATTGAGAAATAATTCAACACCTAAGGTTAAAAATAAGGGATGAAGTTTTCAATGTAACTATTTAATTGACATTCTACCTGTTCTCTCTGTTATTTTGAGCTTGTGATTTTTCCTTAGTACACTTTATACACTAATATGATTTAGATTTACTAACTCTAGATTCAAAAGATGTTAAGTCACGTGGTAATTTTGTTTTCTTTTTTGTTACGGACAGCGAGAGACCCGCCGCCCCGTCGCCCCTTCGTTCCCCGTTACGTCCCGCGCACCCCGCACGCCGGCGCTGATCACGCGATATCGGGCAACCAATCAGCGCGCGTGCGGGGAATATTGCCATCGGGCGGCCAACCCGACGAAATGAAGCGCTCTTCTCGGAAATATAAGAAGGGCGCCTCGGACGGTCGTTGCATTCCGCCTGTGGCACCGCTCTCGAGCGGTCGTGTCCAGGTAGTCCGCGCATCCGTCCCCGTACGGTAGTGCTCTCTCGCTCTCGCGCCTCCGCTGTCCTGCTCGCGCTTACAGCGTCGACGCCTTGGTGAGTCATTTTACGCTAACTCCAGTTATTACCTCCCTGTCTCCGGGCGGGGCGGTTTGACTGTTGGTCTTGCTTGTTATTGTTATTTTTATTGTTAATTCTTTTGTTAACTATTTCTAATTTTGTTTTCGTTATTTATTTGTATAACGTGTACGTGTATATACTGTTTCTAGGGAGTTACTTGCTCTTTTCAGAGCAAGGCCCTGCTCTTTTGAGAGCAGGGGCACTTACTCCTAGAATTAATAACGTCCCGTTCTTCTCAGAACGGTGATCCCGCCCTTACTGTTTAGGTACTCGTCTCTGTTCTTTTCAGAACAGCACCCACTAGCCCCTTCCGTATCAAATACGTTTCGTAAAACTACTGCCCTCAACATGTCCACAATTACCCAAATTAAGTCCCTCGTCGCCGCCCTAAACCAAACTCTTGGTCTGGGCCTAAACCTCGATGAGACGGCCCTTGCCGCCATCGCCGCCCATGTTACTCCCCCTGCCCGTCAGGCACTCCAACCGCCGCCCGTACTTGCGGCCTACCTAGAGACAAAGAACTCTTTCGCCCCATTAGAAATGGAGTACGCATGCTCCGAGTCCTCTGCATCGGCCTCCCGGAAGAGGCCCGCCACCAATTCTGGCACCGGCTCATCGGAGTCCTGTGACTCCGACGGAACCGGGGATTCTTCGTTCACCACGGTGAACTCCAAGCGCAACGGTAAACGCGCCGCTAAAAACCGCACCCTCCCTGTCTCGGCGGCCCCTGCCGCTCCTTCAACCTCCGCAGCTCCCGCTGCCGCCTCTGCCCCCGCAGCCCCCGCCGCTGCCTCAGCCCCACTTATGTCACTAGACATTCCCGCTCCGACCAAGCCAGCCTCTCGCTGTGCTCCAGTCCTTGCCAAGAAGCAAGTCCCGCCCCCTGTCTTCCTAAGAGACAAGGCTAAATTCACAGAACTCTCCAAAACCTGCTACAACGCAGGCATAAAATATGACCACGCCATCAACCTCGGGGAGGCTATTAAGATCATCCCCCAATCAATCGACGACTTCCGGCGACTCACCAGGCTATTCACAGCCGAACGAGTTTCTTATCATACATACGCTCTTCCGGAAGAGCGCAAAGTCAGGGCCGTCATCCGCGGCGTCCCCTTCGAATTTTCAAACGAAGAAATCCTTGAGGACCTTAAGTCCCAAGGTTTCCCCGTAGAAGCCGTGCACAAAATGCACAGTAGAACAGGCCAGAGGTTCTCTCTTGCCCTAGTAATTTTAACCAACGTGCCGGAGGCGAAAGCCATCTTCCGGCAGGTACGCACAGTGTGCGGCCTGTCGAGAGTGAGGGTTGAGCCTCCACATAGGCGCGGGTTCCCGGCGCAGTGCCACCGCTGCCAGCTATATGGTCATGCGGCGGCCAACTGCTCCGCCCCACCCAGGTGCGTTAAGTGCCTTGAACCCCACAACACTAAAGAGTGTCCTCGGCCCAAAGACGCCGAATCCCCACCCGCGTGTGTCCTGTGTAAACAAACGGGCCACCCGGCTAACTACAGAGGCTGCCCTTGCGCACCTCATCCTCGCCCCAGTAGGCAAGCTCCACCGCCGGTCAATGACCGCTCATTCCCGGCTCTTTACCAACGGATGCCCCGTCAGGGCCTTTCACAGCCCACCCAGGGCTTCACTCGACCCTCTCAGGGTCCTCCTAGGCCCCCTCAGGGCACTATTCGGCCCCCTCCGGGCTTCTCTCAGCCTATGCAGCCTCCAGTTTTTCCCTGGGGCCCCAAAAAGGCAGTACCACCGCGGACATCCTCCGCCCCTCAACCACAACAATCACAGCCCTCAATGGCTGATGACCTAAAAACGGTGTATTCCGCAATTAGGAACATCAACGTTGAGGAAATCGCTGTGTTAGCACGCAAATTGCGCGCTGCGAGGTCCCCTCAGGACCGTCTCCTCGCTCTTGCAGAGCATCATAATCTTTTGTGCTCATTGTAAGTTAAGTTAACTTAATTAACTTAACTCACAATGACAGAGCAGGTTGCTCTACCAAAATCCCACGGTCGTATCAAACCTAAGGGTTTATCGCTTGTATCCTTTAACATTCGCGGTTTGCGAAATAACCTCCCAGAGCTTAAGCTCTTTCTTCAAAATCGTGAAACCGATTTCCTCCTCCTACAGGAAACTAATCTCAATACTAAGGACACTAAAGGCCTTTCCATCAAAAACTTCTCTCTTCTTCGTAATGATAGACCCGACCGCCGAGGCGGCGGTACGGCCATTTATTACAAGAAGACACTCCACTGTTCTCCCATTTCTACTCCGCAACTTTCCAACATGGAAGCCACGGTATGCAGGCTAGCTATGACTGGACATCAGTCCATCTTCATAGCCTCCTGTTACATCCCTTCTAAAACCCTTCCCCTCAAAAAAGATTTTGAGGCTATTTTATCTCTAGGCAATTCAGTCATTATGTTTGGAGATTTTAACTCCAAGCATACTGAATGGACATGCCGTACTACCACCCGTAGTGGCAAGTTACTGCTCGATATCACGCAGTCTCTTGATATTACCGTCCACAGTCCTCTCGGTGTTACTCACTTTCCCGATAACACCGACTATGCCCCAGATGTACTAGATTTTGCGTTACTCAAAGGAGTTTCTCTCAACCTTAGGGCAATCGAGACACTAGATGATCTAGGATCCGACCACCGACCGGTCTCTCTCATTCTTGGCCATCAGCCACCACTCCCAACACCCTCTACTAAAACCTTCACAAATTGGAAGGGCTTCAAGGAGTCCCTAGCGAAAGCTCTGGACTCACAGGACTCCCCCATCTCCCTATCTTCGGACTTAGACAGTCCTGAAAAAATCGACACCGCGGTCGATTCACTCTCCACCCTTATTAAAACCTCCCTTAAGGAGAATGAAAGGGTCGTCCCGGTTGCTAATAATAGTGGGCTTCCCCTGCATATTAGCAACCTATTAAAAGCCAAAAAAGCTGCTTTCCGGAGAGCAGCAAAATATCCCACGCCCGAATATAGGCGCACGGCCAATCGTCTTCAACGAGAACTCCGTTTCCGCCTCTCTGAATTTCGAGACCTCGAAAAGAGTAAGCTCATGGAGAATATCTCTCCCTCTCATTACAGCGTACTATCAGATGGCAAGAGCCCTCCGCATAGACGCTATCTTCCACACTCCCCCTCTCTCCCGTCCCGACGGTACGGTAGCCTTCGAGGACGAGGAAAAGGCTGAGTGCTTTGCAGACAGCATTGCCGCTCAATGCTCTCCTAGCTCTCAACCCGTAGACCCCTCACACGTCCAGGCAGTGGAGGATGAGGTCCGCCGCCGGAACTCGCCCCCTACAGCCTCCGAACCTATCTCTGTGTCCAATGATGAGCTTTCATCCCTCATCAAAGGACTTAAGCCTAAAAAGGCTCCGGGCGCGGATGGCATCTCCAACCAAGCCCTAAAAAACTTTCCTGAGCAGGTGCTAACCCTTTTATCTATTATCTTCAATGCCTGCTTCAACCTTAGTTACTTTCCCACTACGTGGAAAGAGGCAACTGTGATTGGTATTCCCAAGCCAGGCAAGCCTCTTAATCTCCCCTCCAGTCATCGTCCCATTAGCCTCCTCAAGGCCATGGGCAAGCTCTTTGAAAGAGTCATTCAAAATCGCATGAGGCGCCATCTGTTTCCCACAGACGGTGACCCTCTTATCATTCCCCATCAATTCGGTTTCCGAGCGAAACACTCCTGCCCCCAACAAGTTCACCGTATTTTGGAATATATCCTCAGCGGTTTTTATCCCCGTCGTCATAAGACTATCGCGGTCTTTTTCGACATCGCCAAAGCCTTCGA